TCACTGGCCTATCATGGCACATTAATTTTTTTCTAAAATACCATATTTATGAAATCAAATATTTTTCTGATTTTGTTCATTTAAAACTGTACCTGCTTTCTGTCTGGTGGCCTCTCTGAGGATCTTATCACAGGGAACCATCACTCCAAGGTCGATTACTCTGAAAGAAGAAGAAGAAGAAGAAGAAAAAGAAGAAGAAGAAGAAGAAGAAGTAGAAGTAGATATACTTTATTGATCCCCTAGGGGGAAATTGTTTTTTTCACTCTTTTTATACACACACACACACACACACACACACACACCAGCCCAGGTGTGTGGAAGCTTAATTGAGGCTTCGTCCCAGGCAAAGGCAGCAGGTCCAGATGGAATAATCCCCTCGACTGTCTGGAAGGCCTGGTGGCGTTGAAGCTGGACTCCCCCATTACAGCACATCTTCAACTTGGAGCTTGGAACAGGGAGGGTCCTAAAGACAGTGGAAGACATCCTGCATCACCCAAATCCCCAAAAGAGACCACATCCTGGTGAACTAAAGATTTCAGACCGGTCGCCCCTGACATCACAGGTGATGAAGACATATGGAACGGCTGCTGCTACACACCTGAGCAAACAAGGTCTGCCACGCCCTTTGACCCACTGCAGTTTGCCACAGGAAAGGTGGAGTGAGGGCCATGTGTACCTGAGCCACAGATCCTTTCTCACCGATAGAGGAAACGGTGTCTGTGAGAATTACATTTCTGGACTTTTCCAGCTCCTTAATTACCATCCAGCCTTCGACTTCTGCAATACAAACAGCAGAACATGAGTAGACTCAAAAAACATCTGGGCATGGATAATGGAATCTACTCACAGACAGACCTAGTTATGTGCGACTGAAGGGACTGTCAGTCGACACTGGTGGTCAGTAGCAACGGAGCGCCCACAAGGGACTGTGCTCTCTCCAGTCCTGTTCACTGTACACGTCGGTACTTGCCCAAATATAATCAGATCCTGTCACGTGCAAGTTCGCAAGACGACACAGTGTGGTATCAGGGGTGACAGAGAGGAAGGAAACCTCATCCAGGATTGTCACATGGTGTATCCAACCACCTGTGCCTTCAACACCACCAAGACAAGGAGATGGTGGTGGACCGTCAGAAGGCCCAGGGCTCACTCGGAACCTGGGACCATCAACGGTGGACCGTGTGGAGTTGGTACAGACTTATACAGAAACCGTGGGAGTAACACCTGGAGTAGGATGGACTGGACTGCCAAAACACAGACGGCCCTGGTGCAAGAGTCAGAGCCGTTTATACTTCCTCAGAAGGCTGCGTCTTTCAACTCGCGAAAAAACTGCTGCAGATATTCTATCGTCTGTTGTGGTCGAGCGCCCTCTTCTATGCACGTAGTGTGCTGGGAGGCAAAGCAATTAAGAAGAAGGACGCCTCCCGTCTGGACAAGACGGTAGGTAAGGCGGCTCTGTGTTGTGGCACAGAGCTGGACAGCCTGACCATCTGTGGCAGGAGCAAAGGCTCCTGGTCAATCATGGACAATTCCACTGCCATTCCACTGCACAGTCACATCTAACAGGCAGAGGAGCCAGGCTTCAGCGACAGGCTGCTGTCACTGTCCTGTTCACTGAAAGACTGAGGAGATCGTTCCTCTCCCACGCCATCAGGCCTTCAACTCCCCCAAGGGAGGAAAACTCTAAACTCTGTCTACCCTTTACTTTAACATACCAACCTGACCAGACTGACACAGTGGCACCCTGCATTAATGTGACCCACTAGACTGACAGACACCTTAGCACTGGATTTGCCAATGCACCTTAAGACACTATGCCCCATGTCGTTATTTGGCTATTTATTCCTACTTTTATTCTATTAGTTCTTCTAATTGACTCCTCCTTGTTATTATTATTATTATTGATTATTAATTATTATTATTAAGTTGTGATACGTGCTGGGAAACTGTGAATTCCCCTTGGGGATGAAAAAGTAAATCTATCTATCTATCTATCTATTATCTATCTAATCTATCTATCATATATATATATAATATAATATATATATATATATATATATCTATACACACATATACATACATATCATACATACACTACATACATAAGTACACACCACACACACACAAGTTCTCTTACATATAAAAGGCAAAGAAAAT